TTTGCAAGTTCTGTTGAAGCTGTCCATAATTTTTAGGGCACAGAAGTGTGTTTTTGCATGAACTAAAGCTGTTTCTTTTTGTTTGATTAGGTGATCTTATTGTAGTGAGGATTGCGTAGGAAAAGAATGTGATGTGTAGATGAGATTCAATAAACATTCTGTCTCGATCTGAGCTGGTCTTTCAGATGTGTGATTAGAGTCTTCAATATTTATTTCATTTTCTATCTCTAAACATTTGCACTGAGATTCACACACACATATGGCCTTTATCAGCTTTTATAATTTTGGCTAAGTTTACATTATTCTAATTGTCATGATTTATCGCAGTTGGATATGGCAGAAGAGTGTATGAATCATGCGATGGATTTGAGTGGTTTGCTACTGCTCTACTCTTCCTTGGGTGACGCGGAAGGAATTTTAAGACTTTCATCCCTTGCTAAAGAGCAAGGAAAGAACAATGTTGCATTCTTATGTCTGTTTATGTTGGGTAAATTGGAAGACTGCCTCCAGCTGTTGGTGGATAGGTAATCCTTATTTTATTGACTTAAAAGTGCTGCCACAAGTGCCATACTTAACACGAAATATCAATCAAACCATTCTTTTGGGCAGCAATCGGATACCTGAGGCTGCTCTGATGGCGCGATCTTATCTGCCTAGCAAAGTTTCAGACATAGTTGCTATTTGGAGAAAAGACCTCAATAAGGTAACTTATTTCTGTTTTCTTTTCCTGATCGTACAGCAACTGGTGCTTGTTATTGATTGCCTTGACATGTACTGTTTACTCTTAAACAAGCAAAGCTTTTCCTAAGTTTCCCCAATGCCTGTTTCAATGAGTTATGTTTAGATCCAAAGTTTGCTATAGATACTTTCTAAGGTTTTCTCCCCCTTATCAAGCTATCTTGACTATTTGGTGGAAGTTCTGCTCATGTTATAGTTATTTTGCCCTGTTAGATGCAGCATAATAGTAGATGCTTTCCTTCTAGGTTTTTTGTATGAGTCCCAATTCAATTGCTTGTCCGTTTTAGATATACTAAGTTGATAACTTATATATAGTATAGCCGATGTTCTCTTATATTCTTACTTGTTGACAAGTCATTTATTCTTTTACTCAGCAAAGAGTCATTGTGAATGTCTTTCGCTATTGTGGTAGTATATGTTGCTAGTATTAAAATACGCAACACACCTAATGGCAGGTTAATCCAAAAGCCGCTGAATCTTTGGCTGATCCTGAGGAGTATCCCAACATGTTTGATGATTGGCAAGTAGCACTTTCGGTTGAATCCAAAGTCGCGGAGACCAGGTACCAAGAATCTATCATTTGTGCAAATATACTCTTCATGCATTATAGTTTTGAGGTCTAACTGGGACCCTGCTTATTTCCTCTTCTCTCTAAGCACTTCCATTTTTATAGCTCCTTTTAGTATGTGACTCCTATAATTGAGCTGTTTCTTTGGCTGTCTCGTTTTCTCTTGCATGATATGGCAACACATTTTACCTATTTAGTTGTTTCTGGTCACATGCTTCGTTTCTGGGTTAAAGATTATCCTTGTGTTGTTCAACAGGGGTGTTCATCCTCCAGCGGAAGAATATCTTAATTACTCTGATAGATCACACAGCACTCTCGTAGAGGCTTTCAGAAATATGCAAGTGGAAGAGGAAAATGAACCTCTCGAAAATGGTGACTCAAATCATGAGGTACATTAAAGAATCCTTTATTTTTTAGAGTATTTTTATTCACCTGTCCGATATTTGGGTTAAAATTGATCAGGATATTGTGTTTCTATTATAATATGGCAGTTAACATACATTTGTTGAAAGTTATTATCCATGGGTGAATTGTTTTCCTCTTAAATATGACATCTTTCGATTCAGCTGTTAAAAGATGAGGGAAGAAGAGCCTACTTATCTATGATTTGTGTAGGTCACTGAAGTAGATGGAGAGGAACAAATTGCTGAAGAACATTATGCAGAAGAAGAGAGCCAAGAGGAGGCTGTCGTAGTGGATGCCGATTCTAATGACGGTGCCGTACTCGTTAATGGCAACGAGGCTGAAGAAGAGTGGGGTACGAATAATGAAGGAACTCCGTCGGCCTAAAAGCAATTGGTTGGGCCAGTGTGAAAATCCAAATTTTGTCCCTGGTGATTAATTGATTCTAAAGTGCCATTTCCAACTCCCATTTACACAAGATATTTCTGCATTTTGAGTTGTTTGACGTTATTTAGATTTCAGAGGGTACATTCTTAAGTAGATGGAAACCAGGAAATTCATCATAATGGTAGATTTTAATGGAGGACTTGTCCTGCTTGTGCTATTTCTGCTTCTATAATATTCTGAACATGCTTTAGAGGCTGTTTATGAAGGGCTCATGGCAAAAGAAGTTGGGCTATTATTAGACATTCTCATTTTCTTCTTTCCCGCTATGGGTAAAGGAGCTATACGAAATCATAACATCTCACTGTATTGTTCTTTGTTCACTCAAGATTGGAATCTCTGTTCTTTTTTTCTTCTAAAATTTAGGTTTTTTGCAATTGCGTACTACCCAACTGACCCCTGGTTTAAGAACCGGTTCGTCATGGGGCTGATAACTCTTAGGATCTCAAGATACCTCTGAAGTTTGATAATAGGGCTTATTTTATCGCATGAGATGCATCTTGGTCAATTAGAGCTGGAACTTAGTCTTATAAATAGACATTTTCATCGTATCAACTATATACTATGAGTGCAGTCATTCCCTGTAGCATGGCTTTAATTCTATTGAGATACCAATGTGCTTTGCGGGCCTTTTTCACTAATCTGGGAGAACATACTTGTTTACTGTCTGGTGGTATGAGGCGTATATAGTGCCATTCAGACTTTAGATGGTATGATACATGTGAATGTCGCTAAAGTAGTTTTGTGAATTTTGAGCTTTGAGCCATTTTAATGCAACTGCCTATGATGTTCATGACGTGCTTTGCTTTGCAAAATGTGGCTCCGTTTTCTATTTGAATTTAGTGTTTCCTTTAACCATAGAGCAGGATCTAGTTACTTTTTGTCTCTATTTTATGTTGTAGCATCTGGTTATTTTTCCTTGTGAGGTGGATATCAATGGTTTTAGAGTTGGTTCTTATGTTTCTTTTTCCTTTCTTGGCAGTGCTCACGCCACATCATTAGTTCCCCTATCTTCGAGAGAATTCCTTGCCGCCGTACTATCCTTAAGGTGAGAACAGGTACTTTCAAATGGCTGATGGGAGAGGGTTGGTGGAAGAGAGATTTGGACATGCTCTGCGCATTTCAATCCTCTTCTGTGGAAGTTGAGAATCATGAGCTTTTTCTGGCGGTAGTTCATTTATGGAAAGCGTGCTTAGCTAGGGCAGGATACATTTGTAGGAAGTGTACGTGGCGGATTTTGTTGTAGAGTATAATATGTTGATCAGGAGTAATTTTGATGATTATTTGATCGTGTTTGTCCCAAGATACATACCTTGGCAATGGAATTGGAGCATTCTTACTTAGGGTACAAAGCTTGTGAGTCTTCAATTTGAAGTGGAACTGCAGTGTGTTCCGCTTGGATTTTACTACTGAAAAAATTCGAAATAAATTTGGTAAGATTCCGGCAATGACGGTAATTTAGTGACTCGAATTATGCATTGCACGGCGTGTTGAGTTTCTTATTTTCGGCTGCTGTCTCTTTTTCTTGTCACATTGCTTGAGGAGTAGTTTCCTCATCAATGCTTTCCCAGTCACCGCGAATTGGTCGGATTCCGAGGGCCGAATTGTGGTTATTAGTTGTCCAATCTATCAGCTCTTGCACTTTAGAATGGTGTTCCAAATTCTTTTCTGTCGCGATTATCATTTTTTTTTCCCATTCGAGCTTTTGTCGAGGTTTCCGGCTTAGCCGCGAAAGGTCCTTCAGGCGAAATGCGTTTACATCACACACTCTTCGAGCTCTTTGCTTATTTGGGAAGTGTTCGTCCCGGTGCTTGGATCTAGCGACTAATTTGGAACACGCAAAGCCCTATGCTCCTTTTGTTACGCATGCTAACGCTGGAAAGTTAGAACCAGCAACGTGCTAATAGTGACGAGCAGCAGCAGGCAAGATGCGACCAGACATCTGAAACGGTTTCCCTAGTCGGCGGTTTGACCCGGATCGTCTAAACCCGCTTAAGCGGTGATTGGATTACTTCGCTTGCTTGGAGTTGGATGGACTTCTCAATGCTATTTCCCAGAGGCGAAAAAGGCTTATGCTTCAGTGTCGTAATCTCGCGTTCCCCATCTCAAGTGGATTTTGGCACACGTAACTTTTACTCGAAAGATCGCTGCGCAGATGAAAAATATCAAGCGGCGAGATTTTAACGAATTCATGAATTTCTTTTTATACCGGACGACGGATGAAAATTAAAAAGTCACGAGAGGAAAAAAATGTGCCTCAATAGGGTCCTGCGAAGTTCGAGTCTTGTATCGGAACTTTAATGAAAATGGTAAAGTTCTTGTCAAGATTTGTTCTCATAAAATGAAGTCCATAGAATGCGAAGAGATAATGAGTCGCATGAACTCCAAAAGGAAAAAAAAGCATTTTCATGTATTTACAGCTTTTCGAATAGCTATTTCGAACGAATGATTTTTACGCAATACAAAAATGTTGATAATTTGTAAAAAGAAAAACGAGACGAGAAGAAATACTACGTCATATGAACTTCAGATGTACTTACTGCTTTTGAGATAGCTATTTCGAATTGTTTTTTTTTTTTTACTGAAAGATCTTGACGCGGCATAAAAATGCAATATCAGAATTTTTAAAAAGAATAAATAAAAAAAGGGGGGAAAAACAGACTCTAGATCGACGTGTCAGCACAGCCCAATCAGCAAACCGCGAAACAGGCCAGAAAGCGTCTCAGGAAACGCAGAGGGGGGGGCGAAGTCCCCAAAACACCCCTGGGATGGGAGCGCACCCAACATCACATTTCGCACACTTTTGACAGGCTCTCCCCAAAGTACCAAAAACCATCCCGAACACTTCCATCACACCCCCTTCTCTCTCTCTCTCTCTCTCTCTCTCTCTCTCTCTGCTCATCTGATGACGCGCACCCACAAAAATCTCTCCCCTCCTCCCCCAATTCCCTCTCTCTCTCTCTCTCTAGAAATCTAGGGTTTTCGCCGGAGCGATTCCTTCCTCCGATTGCAGCGCCAAGCTCGACCCCCTCCCCGATTCGCCCAATTCGGGAGCCCCCAATTGCGATTCGCCGCTCAGGCGTCGCGAACTCTAGGGGTTCGTCGCCATTGGGTTCGAGATTCCGCCATTTCGGTGCTCTTGCGTCCTCTCTGGTCTTCTGGAAGTTTCGGCTCTTCTCGGGGGGCGACTGTGGCTCGTGCCTGCGCGCGGTCGCTGGGGGGAAACGTTCGATCTATCGAGGAAAGTCCGTTTCTTTGCGCTCTCCTTCCTTCCCCTTCCCTTTCGTCGTCGCGGTGTTGGCGGTTCGAGTCGTGGCGTTCCGGGTTGAAGTGTCGGATTGATGGCTACGGAGAGGGAGGATGAGGTGGATTACGAGAGCGATCCCGAGGAGGGGAAGCGGTCGCTGTCGATGCGTAGGCGGAGGGCCGCGAGCGACGATGAGGAGAGCGAGAAGGGAGAGGAGGCGTCGGAGGTGGGAGGAGGAGGAGGAGGAGGAGGAGGCGGGAAGGGATCTCTGATGGGTCGGATTCGCTCCGAGGAGTCCGACAGCGAGGGCGGGGCTGCCGATTACGAGGAGGAGGAGGAGGGCGAGTTAGAGGAGGAGGAGGAAGGGCTGGATGGGGAAGAGGAGGAGGAGGAGGAGGAAGGCAATTACGAGGACGCGGAGGAAGTGATTGTCGAGGAAGGAGTGAATGAGAGACTGGCTGGGGAAGTGGAGAGGAATGACGGGGTCAACGCGGCGCACGATGAGGAGGAGGAGGAGAAAGAGGTGGTGGTTGGAGATGCCAAGGGTGAGGGTCAGATGGCCGTGGAGGAGTCTCTGGGTGAGTGGGGGGAGGATCAGGCAGAAGATCAGGTGGAGAAGAAGGAGAATGAGCCTTACGCGGTGCCCACTGCCGGGGCTTTTTACATGCACGATGATCGATTTCGGGACAATGTAGGTGGCCGCAGCAGGTACTGCTCTTAAATATTTCTTTCGGGATAATGGTGTTGCGAGTTCCGTTGGACTTTTGGGTGTCGTCAATGTTTGGTTTTATGGCTTTCATGAGTAGGATTTGATGGGCTGTGTGATAGACGCTAGTGGGATGAGGGAGGTTTATGGCTTTGACAGTTTTTTTCCCGGGTGCATTTGTTGGTTATGTACGAATGTTAGTAGGAGGGATGTCCTAGGACTTAATTTCTTCTCTATGAGTACTTCAGCCGTGGATGTGGGAACCTTTGGAGGAATGATTTCTTCTCTTTATGATGGTAGACATTAGATAAGTTGGAAATATGAAGAGACTATTACATCGGCGGTAGATTTGTTGTTCTAGATATTATTTGATTTTGTTAAATTAGTTATGGTTAAATGACTTTGTAGTGTGGTTTTGGGATAAAGATTTTACGATTTGTTGGAGGACGGAGAACACGTCATTGTAAGGGTGAAGTGGTGTTTGCTTTGGTAACTTGACAATGTTCAACAGGTGGGTCTGCTATGGTCCCCCAAAGAAGGTCAGATCTGCTAAAGTTCTCTAGACTTTGTCGGATAAGTACGGAAAACATAGTGGGTCTTTGCTGGCAGATTTTGTTTGATGTCGCTGAGTAGTCTATGCAACAGATCATCCACATGTATTCATCTAGCAGTTTGTCAGTCTTTTACCCGATTGAAGTCATTGCATTGAACATATTGGATCATCATGAACCCTCTCACTGTGTACATTTTGTTTTTGTTCTTAACAAGCAAATCTTTTACCTAATATCATTCTTTATGGACCCCACTATATTTTTCTAGCTGGCATTTTTGAAGATGATTCTACACCGATACTATCATTCTTCTGGTCTAGAATGATGTTGTTGAGAGCAAGTTAGTGACCTGTGTTCTTTCTGCTCGTTTAGCCGGTGCATGTAGTGAGGCATGAGTGTTTTCCCTTTGTAATCTCTTTGGGCATCACTTTTTATGAGTTTTACTATCCTGCATTATATGTTTCTCTGTGTCTTATAGGTTTTAAGATTCAGGAAAAGACCTCTCATTTTTTTTCCATGCATTTTTTTTGTTTAGGCGAACTTTTGGTGGTAGGAAGCTGTGGGAATCAAAGGATGAAAGGAAGTGGGGCCATGACAAGTTTGAAGAGATGACGATGCAAGAAAGACGCTATGATGAGGTGGATAAATGCTCAGGAGTGGTGCTTTGTTGTCAAGTGCATGTTTTTTTTAGGTGAACTGATGCTTACCTTTTGCTTTATTGTCATGACATCTAGAGAAGGAGGACTTCCAGAGGTAATTATCGAGGTCGTGGTAGAAACCGGGGTGTTGACCGTGGATATGTTAGAGGGAACAGAGCAAGAGCTTTTGATAACAATAGTCCAGTTGACACAGGTAATAATAGTAGCAATCAGAACCAAGTACCTAGAGGTGTGAGAGGGAGAGGGCCTAGAAGATATGAAAGTTCTCTCAAGAAGAGCAGTCATGCACCACCAAATCATAACAAACAGTGAGTACTGCTTTGTATGTTTATGCGTTAATTAGTCATTTCTTCGTGCTAAAGCTAATACTCCAATATGTTTCTGGTCGCCCAAAATGTCAGATCCAAGAAGCCTCTTGAAGAAGCTTCGCAAGATAACTCGGGGCAAGTGTTTATATCCAATTTGAATACAGAAGCTGATCCAGCTCCTGCAAAAAAACAAACATTTGCATCGAGTTTGAATTCTGCTTCTCCACCTTTTTATCCTTCCAGCTCTTCTAGTAAGGATATTGCATCAACACAGAAAAAGGGTGTGCAAGTTGGAAATCTTAATAGGAACAATCGTGCTTCTGTGGTGGATGACAATTTTTCTGGGCCTCCTCCTAATGCATTGTTGCGAGGAAAGAACATAGCTAATTCAGTTGGCATAGATAAGCTCTCCATCAATGATTCTGTCATTACTTCTGCTGCGAAACCTTTGGCCACTTTGCGTGGTTCATCTGTCAATACTTCTCAGTCTTTTCAGACTAGGGCTCAAGGAAGGGCGATGGCTCCCCCTGCGGGACAGATGCCTTACCAAAATAACCCTTCCCAGGGCCAAAGCAACAGATTATCGCCACAAGTGCAGGTCCATGCTGGTCAGAGAAGTGCTGCCCCAAATAGAGTTCAAACTTCCCCACAAGTACCAGGACAGCGTCCTGGTAGTGGATCTCAAGCTTCCTCTCCTCCTAAAACAGCTGCTTCCGTAAATTCATATGAAACTGCAGAGATGGAATCTGCTTCTGAATCAAGCAAGTCAGCTGGAGCTTTGGTTGGAAAGGGAAAAGGCAGTGTTCAAGGAGGTGGGAGGGGCTCTTTTGTTTATAGTGGTGCTCATGTTGTGGGGGCTGGTGGGAATATGGGTGTTGGTCATGGCGATCAAAACTTCCCTGGTACTCCAGCATTTTTACCTGGTAAATTTCTTGCATCTTTCTATTTCTGTGTTATTTTGAAGTTCGGTGAAATATCTGATCCAATCAGCAGTCAGCACTCCACAGAGTTTTCATCTTCTGTGATTACTCTTTTTTCCTTTTGTTTGATTTGTAAAGTTACGATAGTCAGAGTGTTTCTGTAGCAGCAACCTTTATTAGAGTAAGAATTTCATCTTAGTTTAGGGACTTATTGCAAGGACCATTCTAATTATGAATTGTTGGTTAACACGAAGCATATGCATTTGCAGATTTGGTTCCTTATTCCTTTTAGCTTACAAAATTTTGTCTTGTCATGCTGATGAATGGCCTGCAGTTATGCAATTTAGTGGTCAGCATCCTGGAGTCCCGGCTGTCGGCATGGCATTTCCAGGATATGTTGCCCAGCCTCAACTTGGTCTCGGGGGAAATTCTGAGATGACATGGTATGGTAATTTGTCTTATATTGCCCTGTTTCTGTCCATTCGCTTTCTCATTTTTCTAAAGCTGTATGTGTGGAGTTAGACTGATTAGCTGGCTTGCGTTGAGCTGTTTTCTGAAGTTTATGCTAGATTGAGCACCTTATTAAGTGTCTTGCTCGAGCACACAAATGCAAAGTCATTGACTCGGTCAGAGGATGTTAGAATACATTGAGCACCTTATTGTGTTTATGCAGAGTGTTTACTTTTACTTTTTTCCGTAAATAGTGCTTAGTCCAAGACCGATGCGCTCTGTAATTACAGAAATACTCAAGTAGGAAATCATTTTCATTGTCATCAGGTTACCTGTACTCGCGGGTGCCGCAGGAGCTTTAGGGGCTACATATTGTTCACCATACATTGCTGTTGATGGTGCTTATCATGCTCCTTCGGGGCAGACAACTTCAATGGGCACGTCAAGGTTAGTTTTTCTCCTAGGGATAGCTAAGGTGGTTTTAGAATTTGTTGTGATGTTCATTAGGTATTTACGACTTGTTTCAGCTACATTTTTGTTAACCATGCTTGAAGATGTGGTATTTTGATTCGCAAGTGGAAAGATGGAGTAGACGTATTAGAGTTTACTCTTGAGAGAACTTATGTGCCTGTCTAAACATTGAAATTAGTGGTTATTCTTTCTATGGTTTGACTTTGACTGCTATCTTCCAGAAACTTGACTGAAGTCAAGATTCGTATCACAATAGGGTCGAATAGGGTTATGAAAACAAGAAACAGATTAAATGGGATTTTAGAGGAAAATCGCTATAAGAAGGTAGTCCACTTCATTGTAAACAAAAATACTGCTCATATATCATTGCTGGTTTGTTCCAAATGCATATCCAAAAGGAAAATGGAGTCTATCAAGTACATCAACAAAAGTTGACTTTTACAATTTTACATGTTGAAGTCCTGGCTGGCTTATTTTACAGTCATATATACGATCATGTTATTTGACATGATGTTGGAAAGTATCTATCCATTCTTTTTATATATTGTGGGAGTGCTGGGAAAATTTGACGCTGAGACTTATTGGCCTCTGTGTTTTCATATGCAGCAAGGAAGGTCAGTCAAACAAACCAAACTCTGAATGGAAGCCCTCTCAGAAACCTGGTAAGAGATGAGCATACACATTTGCAGTTGCACTCTGTCTATGTTGGCTTGAGCTTGGTTGAAATTGAAGTTTGTAAACTATTACCTTTTAGGATATGAAATTGAAAATACCGAATTTTGTGTGCAGAACTTGTTAGTGAGGAACATGGACAGCGACAAAATAAACCTCGTAGGCAAGTTGCTCAGTTTCTGCTGCAAATCTCTATTTATTTAGACCATGAAGCAATTTTTTAAATCTCTCTCTCTCTCTCTCTCTCTCTCCCTGTCTCTCTCTATCCATGCACACACAATATGCCTCAATCCAGATGATATCTTTGCATGTGCAGATACTCAGAGATGAATTTCGGCCAGTGAAGCTTCAATATCGTGGAGACTGAATTAGCAAGTTTAAGGTCGAGATTTTCCCAATTGTTTTTTTGGCTGATTGGTGTGCTCTATGAATCTGAACAATGATTGTCTGCTCCTGCAGGCCGCCTCTTAGGCCCTTGTGATTTCCAGCTCTTGGTCTGGTGCACTTTGGGCCAACATATGTTCCAAGATAGGTTAGGTATGGCCTTTTTTTTTTTTTCTTTTTTCTTTTTTCCTTGCTTGCATGTGTATATGAGACTATTATTTTATAAATTATTTTGTTATTGCTAAAAATTTTGTGGATTATCCATTGAGTCTCAGCAAAAATGTGCAGGAAAGTTCAATTTCATACATATAGTTCGTGGGAAATCTTAGAATTAGTCTTTTTTTCATAATTTTGTATATGGGTGGCTTCAACATGAAGCCATTTTACATAGGAGCTTTACCTTGGTACTTTCTTGATGAAATATTTTTATCATTCAAAAAATAAAAGTGTCAACAAATATGGATTGGCCGGTTGTTTGGGGGTTCTGTTATACCGAGTCTGATGGGTGCATACGGAATACTAGATTACTTAAAGTATGATTTAAACCTGAGCCATGTTCTCGCGCCTACACTTTTTAAGATGTATGTTAAAAGTTGGTTTTTGATCATCGTACTGGAAGCTTTGTGCTAGTTGACCAAATAGTTCGATTAAAGACGTGAGGATATGATCAGATGGTGTAACTTGAGCGGAGTGGTGTCACAGTCAGGTTTATTGAGTAGTTACTATGCATTCTCATGGGCTTGGATTGAATTAAATTGTCTTATGGTTTTTGTTAAACTCTGTGTGTTGTAGGTTAAGTGGCAAATACCTGGTCATGCTGCAGTCAAGTTGAGAACCGTACTGTAGCTTGACGGGTGGTAGTTTCTTGTTTAATGTAAGGTATGGGAATTGACCTGGATGCTTCTCTCTTTTTTAAACCTTAATTTTCTTCTGCAGAAGTGGATGGAAAGTGATTTTTTGCCCTTAATCTGTCTGCTAGGTGTTCTGTTACTCGTCGGATTTACCTGTGGTTTGGTTTCTAAAAGAAGCTTGTGAGAGAGATATGGTGACAGGCTTTTTCAGAGAGCTAATAAGAAAATGAAAAAAGAAGAATCAATGTGCAGCAGCAGCTGTTATGAGACATGAAGTTGATAGTATCGTGTGGTTACGTTCTGTGTCCGCGACATTTGCATCTTTCTGATGCCCGGTTTTCCGGTTTGGTTAATGCATGGTTTTCACTTATATTCTCGAGAACATTCTTCCGGGACATGACTTGGCTCTAGTGCCATGATCCAAGTATTATGACTTAATTGAGTGGGTCAATGATTCTTTTCCATAAACCATCTGTATCATCTACTTTCAAACTTTAATAGTTATTGGAAGCATGTCTGTTATACCTATACCTACTGTTTATATTTGTGGTCTCACGCACACACAAGGCAACAGTATTGCACATAATTTCTCCTTAGAGGTTAGTGTCTGTCGTCCTTTAAATCTACCCAGAAAATACTTGAATCTTTCTAGCTCTTTTTCTATGGGTTAATGGAATTTTGATGAGAATGGAAGTTCTTGTGCGGGCCATGTTCTTCTCCATGCTGAGCCAGTTCCTGTCTTATCATTGTACTCCTCTTTTGTAAAATAGAGGAAACTCGCGGCATGCTTGCGGATTAGGTTTCGAGCGGGGATTGGGTGGATTGAAATTATGAATAGCCGAGTTCGTCTGTCATCCCAAGGTTCAGTTAGGATGTTCTGGAAGCTCAATAATTGGTGTCACGGCACGTTCTCATCACTATCCAAGAGCTATTTGACAAAATTTTCTTTTATTGTTGTTAGTATCTGCTGGAATCACTCTATAGAAAATGTGGGTTGACTTAGATAAAACGTGATTATATTTTTTTTTGTGCGGGACAACTAAGTCGATGGGTCAAACAGAAAACCCTACCATAAAATAATAGACGATGATCAAAATCTTTGAAGCTTGTTTTAGCTTTTTCAAGGGTCTCGTAAGAGTTGCTTATAGTTTTTAACATTCGCTAGCATATAAATCAGCAGATGGTTAGCGAAAATCTGTACTTATCTGCATTTGGAAAGCCAACCGAAAACTTCCAAAACCAGCAACGTCTATTCCCCCTTTTCTAGACCAGCAATGTAAAAACCAGCAATGTTTTTAACATTCACTAGCTTGTTTCAGCAATGTATTTTCTCCCTTTTCTAAACCAGCAACTAAAAAATCCTCCAAGTATGTTCGGTGCGGAATTACCTAGTGCGAGGATGGAGACCCTTGCGACGCCTCTACCGGAGCTTAACTTGCGGCGATCGGCTAAGTGAGGACTGCGCGGATTCTGCCCATATCATGAAATTAGAATATACTTAACTCGCGCGATAGTGTTACTAATACCAAATTATTGATATATTTGAAAATTTACTACTGTTTACTGAACATTATTATTTTTGCACGTTTTGATAAGCATTTGAAAATCACCACTCAATGACATAATGCCCATAATTCGGACAACGAGCCCATGTAATTTTGCCTCGCACAAACGAAAATTCCACATCTAAGATTTGTGGATTTTTTTCTTCAAATTTTTTTTTTGGTCGGATTTTTTGTCAAATTAAGTTTGTGACCGAAAAAAATCAGCCTAAAGCATTAATAACAATCTGCCTTGAACGAGCTGTGATCTGATTTTTAGTATGAACTTCCATAAAAAATCCTCCAGCAAAAAAAATTGAAGGAAAGACTAGAATAGTCCCGCACGCAGTATTGCTCGCTACATGTAAAACAAGTACGTGGAGTATCTCTCTTAGTCGCATGAGAGCCGGTTGGTAAGGATCGCACACTCCATATTGACCGTCCCCAGATTCGATTCCCGGTACCAACGATCCCTCATTTGATAAACGATCCGTAAGTCCACCTAAATATTCACTGCAGGCCAATGGCACATCCTTTACCTTGAAGTGGGCCGGGGTACATCCCCTTCTCTTAAATTTTTTCTTGTCCGAAAAGAAACAAAAAACAAAAATAAAAATCGCATTAAGGGCCATATACAACACCCAACAATAATATATTGACAAGGTGTAGGTTACCCAACATATTATCCGAAAGGAAAAGGGGAAAGAAAACAAGTTTATGATCTGTCATTACCAACTGCAACGTCTCTCTCTTCCTCACCATCTTTCTTTCTTAAATATTCAAAGCCAAGTCGTCACAACTCGACCTTCCGTGTCCATGTTCATGTCAAATGCCACCTCTCTCACCCTATCTCTCTCTATCACACACACCCACACACCAACCTCATTGTTGATTGGTCAAACTCAACGATTCTTCTTCTAGTAGTTATGCAGTTTTCTTTCTACCTTTTTGGCTGTATAGCTCATCTTCTGCTTGCAGAATCTTTCACGTTCTTCTCCCTTTTTGAACCGATATGTGTACCTGCAAGCTTAACGCTTCCTTAGGAGTCTTCTCGTCGAGTAACTATGGAAATGGAGACCCGTTTGAGAGTCGACCATGCCGCTTTCAAATAGTCAACTCTGATGTTTCCGTGAAAATTTCTTCTGCAACATGCGCCAGTGCAGTGTCGATTCAGGTAAACATGCGATATGGAAGCATAACAGAAGCCGGAAAAGCTACAAGCAACTGGGGAGGATATGAAGGGAGTGATATTCACGCGTAAAATTAGTCGGACAGCCTTCCTTGAGGCAGTCTAGCAGTCATATTTATACCTCCTCCACCTTATCAGGAGTTTCGATGCCTATCGATGCTCCAACGTCCGAGGGACTGCATTCCAGTCGCAATCCTGGAAGAGCTACTAGAACCGGCATAGGTAGTTTTGCGTGGTTCCGAAGCCAAAGGTTGCTGTATTGGTTGCTAGTGATCGCTTTGTGGTCTTGTCTGCGGCTCTATGCGCAACCCAGGTGGGCTCATGGTGGCAAGAAGGATGATGTCATGGGTTCTGTAGATGAACCAAGCCACTTTATAAATGAGAGTTTCTTGACCGTTAAACATGAGAGTTTTGTGACAGCTAAACATGAGAGCACTGCCAGCAGGCAGAGAGCGAATGGTAGATCACCAAATCTATTAAGGAAGAGGTATATGAGAACTGTCCGACATTCGCGTAGCAGAGTGGAGAGGAAAAAGAAGGCCATGGCGGCAATGAAAAGCCACAACTTAGAGGAGAAGGAAATGGTTCCTATGAAGAATGCCTCGTATGGTTTGATTGTCGGTCCATTCAGCTCAATAGAGGATAAATTACGCAGAAGCATTGCGAAGAAACAATCAGGAACATGTGACTTGAAGGGGGATTTCGGACGGGCCGTGAAGTCGAGGAAATTCGTGTTGATATTTCATGAACTCTCAATGACGGGTGCTCCACTGTCCATGATGGAGTTGGCAACTGAGCTTCTGAGCTGCCGGGCGACTGTGTCAGTAGTGGTCCTCAGCAAGAAGGGCGGTTTGCTGCGGGAACTCACTCAGAGAAGGATCAGAGTGCTTGAAGACCGAGCGGAACTCAGCTTCAAAGCTGCCCTCCAGGCCGACCTTGTCATTGCAGGATCGGCAGTATGTGCATCATGGATTGGTAAGCAGTTCTTAGCAATGTGGCCCATCAAAATTGAGAAAATTATCATGGTTGACTACATTTTAGTTTTCTTCCTTTCTTTCGCTTTCAATATGTTCACTCCATTCAATTTTAAGCATTCGAGGCACCGAATTATGCAACCTAACTTGTAGCATTAGCAAATGATAGAGTCGGTGATGATCTAGGCACAATTTCCTTATCTTTGGGTGCACTATTTTTTCCCTTTCGGCGCTTATCTAGGCACAGTTTAGATAGGAGCTGAGGCATAATTTCATATAGCATATCTTTGAACGCTTATCATTTGCCGTGCTTTCTCTTTAGACAAGGTCAGTTTAATGGTGAATTTACTTTCAGAGCAATATACTGATCGATACCCCGCTAATTGGAGTCAAATTGTTTGGTGGATCATGGAAAATCGACGTGAGTACTTTGATCGGTCAAGAATGGTGCTAAACAGAGCGAAAGTGTTGGTTTTTCTTTCCAAGTCACAGTCTAGACAATGGCTAACCTGGTGCGAAGAAGAGAACATTAAACTGAGATCAGCACCAGCAATAGTACCATTATCAGTTAATGATGAACTAGCTTTTGTAGCTGGGATGGCCTGTTCTCTAAATACACCATCCTTCACCCCCGAAAGGATGATGGAGAAAAGGCAGAAACTGAGAAATTTTGTTAGAAAGGGTATGGGACTGACAGATGAAGACATGCTTGTGATAACTTTGAGTAGCATAAATCCGGGAAAAGGACAGCTCTTGCTTCTTGAATCGGCACGTCTGGTCATGGAAAATTACTTCTCACAAGAATCAATTAGACTACGACGAGATTTTAATTTGATAACTGGGAACCACTCAAGGTCATTGTTCGAGGAGTCAAATAATATTGGATTGCCAAATGAACAATCTATCCCCACTGATCCTACCAACGAGAGAGAGAGGAAAAACTTAAGGTTGTCTGGTTTATCAACTGCACTGACTGACAAGACTGCTGTGCCGATTGAGAGCGGTCGCCGAATAAGGGGTAGAAAAGAACTGTCAGAGAACGAAAGAATGAACAGCAACACATTGAAGATACTTATAGGTTCAGTGGGATCGAAAAGCAATAAACTGCCTTATGTCAAAGAAATGTCGAGATTCTTATCCCTGCGTTCAAACTTCTCAAAGTCAGTGCTATGGACTCCAGCAACTACACATGTTGCTCCACTTTACTCAGCTGCTGATGCTTACGTCATGAACTCCCAGGTGAGGAACCTTCAGAAGTACCTCTCTTTGTTCAAACGAACGGAGAGGGAGAAACTTTCGATTTCATTTTGGACAGTTTCGACATTGAGGCCAGTCAATCCTGCATATACTTGAATATGCATTGAATCTGCTTGAGTATTTGAACAACCACACAAGGCCTTTTTTTTTTTCACTCATTGCTTGCTTCTAGTTGAAAACATGGCAGTGTGATTAATGTATCCTTCGAGTCTTTCTATACGCTTGTAGCTCTATGATTGCACTCAGTCTTGGTTATCACTGTGTCTTCTGCTAGCCTCAAACTGCTTCCATACAGCTAATTTTGGATATGGAAGGATTAGAATTCTGTAGTGGAATGTAGAAAAGCTATCAAAAAGTGGAGATTATGCTTATCAGAACCGTTAAACCAAACAATTTCAAATCTCGATATTCAGGGATCATGTCTCGTTTTCTCTTTTTCTGGTCAATAGTTGATTTTTTGACTTTTTGAATGGCTGGCAGGGGATAGGAGAAACATTTGGGAGAGTAACAGTAGAAGCAATGGCATTTGGGCTTCCGGTAAGAACAATTTTCTCAGTCAAGGATATTCGTTGAACATCATATCAGTGATTATTTCGTTTCTACGTGAGTTCTTTAGCGTTTCTTGTTTCTGAGTTGGAAAATTAGTTTTCTCTTGCTAGGTTTCTCTTTCATTTGTCTGCATAAGCGTAGCATCTCTAAATCCCTTCCCTGTTAATATTGATAGGATGATTCTGATCCATGAATAGCTACTTTCTCTTTAACCGTATTGCCAACTTTTAGTAGTTTCTGTGTCACTCCCTAGAGATACACCCCGCGCCCCTCGTATATCCACTTTGCATCCGTCTGAGAGATCAAAATGGGTACAACTTTTTGTCATCACGTAATTGGAATGGTGCAGGTGCTCGGAACTGATGCGGGAGGGACAAAGGAGATCGTTGAGCATAATGAAACGGGACTTCTTCACCCTCCTGGTCGGCGAGGAGCTAAAGCTCTCGCCCTTAACCTCCGGTTTTTACTCGAGAACCCATCAGTGAGGGAGCAGATGGGGATGAGAGGAAGGAGAAAAGTGGAGCGGATGTACCTAAAACAGCACATGTACCTAAAATTAACAGAGGTTATCTTCCATTGCTTGAGAACGAAGTAAACTTCTAAAACCGGACGATGTCTATTCTCATTCCCTTGATTGTACACAGTTCATTCAGAGAGCGCTAATAATCATGTGACAGTATATCCACTAATTTAGTATAGTGGCAGAGGGTTTTCAAATACATTCACTTTGATGAGGAGCAAAAGAAAGTGCATTCATTCATGCTCGCTTCTGGGTGTATTTCTTTAGCGGATTCCTTGGATGAATTGCATTTTGCTGATCATGATTTGTGGCCTTGGGCTTGTGCTGGGTGTGACCTTTGCATATGCTCAATTTGACAGTACAATCAAATTCAAGATAGAACACCCAACAGCTTTCAACAGTGGAACTCTGCCTTATCAATTATGTTGGGGTAAATTCATGTTGGCCCAACATGGCCGAACTCGATGTTTCGAAAAGGGCAAGCCATTCCGCTCATGCGTTTGATATTGATTACATGGTTGAGGAGATGACAAGGGCTTCTTCCAGCTGAAACAAGAATTCAAGGAGGAAGGCGATACGTTGAAAATGACCTTGGCAGGAAAGCAAGAAGATTCGTAGAAAGGCAAGATATGAAAGGGAAAATACTACAAAAATTGTGATAAATTTACCCTGAATTTTTTTTAGTGATACGAAAAACCCCAAACTTTGCCACTTGTGACAAATTTACCCTTAACTTTTTTTTTTACACGAAAAACCCCAAATTATACCACCTGTGACACATTTACCCCACAATACTTTGGCCTATGGACATTTTTTGTCTTTTTCCTTTTTCTGTTTTTTTTTCTTCTTTTTTTTTCTCTTTTCCCCGGCGAGGGCTGCCTTTGCCGGATCCGGTGACCCTCGCCGGCGTCGGGAGAGACTGCCCTCGCCCGCCCAGGCAAGAGTCGCCCTCGCCGGATTCGGCGAAGGCAGCCCTCGCCGGCTTCCCTCCACCGACCACGACAAAGGGAAGAGAGAAAAAAAAGATTAAAAAAAAACAGAAAAAGGAAAAAGACGAAAATGCCTATGGGCCAAAGTATTGTGGAGTAAATGTGTTACAGGTAGCATAGTTTAGGATTTTTTGTGTCACAAAAAAAAGTTCAAAATAAATTTCTCACAAGTGGCATAATTTGAAATTTTTTGTGCTACAAAAAGAAGTTCAAGGTAAATTTATCACAAGTAGTATAATTTGAGATTTTTGGTGGTATTTTCCCGATATGATATGATAAGAGTATGTATGTTCAAGTAAGACAAAGTAAAGGATATGCTGTTTTGGGTTGTTCCTTGGGACCAAGGTATGATGAATAATTCACTTTAAACTGTTAAAGAGTAGGATCTGTGTTTTGAACATTGAGGACTAAACAAGCAGCCGAAGATGTGAATTCTCCATCGCACTTCTTAAAATTCTTGGCTGCCTGAACCTGAGATGATCCCCACAAAGCATAGCCAGAAAAAGGAAAAAGAAGAGTATTTCTTGAAGCAAAGAAGAATGGCTTTGTATTCTTTTCTTCATCCACGCTACACGAACTTAAACGGTGGTATGCCTGGACCTTACACGGCATAGCTCATCACTCTCCTGGTTTCTTTGAAGCTCATTTGTCACCGTTCAATCATCTAAAACAGATGATTCCTCAGATCTCCTACCCTCCAAACCCTAGCAATCCTTTAGGCTGCATTTACAATCTGAGAGGTAACGTCAACACATGGCCGTGACGGAATATGTGAAAAGGAGAGTCGAACTTGAAGAGATGGAACTATATTCAGGGATAAGTTTACTGAACATCAAATTATGTTCAATATGAAAACTTAACCAGTCACGGACAAAAGTTTCACAAGATGCGAACAAGAGTACAAGACCACATGGCATCTCAATGAAGAGATGCTAGCTCAACAAGCTCCTTGTATTCATCCGAAACATACGACTTCACCTTCATAGCGGGTTTTCCATTGGCCTTTCCTGGAGATACATACTTTATGCCAATTACAGTGGCTAAACCTGCAACATGATTGGCCAAGGATTAGGTTTTCCACACTGCAGGGTAGGGGTAACAGGGAGAAAAATCCAAGATTCTGACAGTTTTATAGCAATGACCAGCATTAATCACGTCGAATGAATTTCTGATGCTTGTGTGAAATTTAAACAGAACATCCATTCATGGCAGTTGTCAAATTTTAACAGCTTCCTATAGCTTATTGCAGGTAGTAACATGGTATCTTGTATAAATTTATGCAATGGGAAACTTTATAAGGATAAACAGAACTGTTCAGGAAAATATTGCTCAGCTCTTAAAGCACAATCTTGACCTTTTGTCACTAGCCATGAACCTAACAGACAGTTATTTGTATATGAATTTCCAGTGGCACGTTGCAAAGCATCAATATGCAGTAACTAACATTCTTAAAGCCTTCAGTAGCAAACATTAAAAATTGGGGAAATAGAAAACGCAATTCTGATAATATTGATAGTAGACGCAATATATTGGGGCGTAAAGCAAAGAAAAGGAAAAACACTCAGTTGCTAAGTAACAGAATTCTGATGCAGCTTATAATAAACGACCTTCCTGACTGGAACAATTTCCTCATATAATTCAAAGAAGCATGTGAGGGGTCCTTACTCTCATGCACACGACCATACAAAAATCTTTCACCCTTCCAATATTCCAAAGGTCTTGACCTGATTCTGGTGCTTCTCCTTACTCCAGAATTCCATGATGTGCCAGCGGCTAGCAGGGAAAAAATCAAGATATAACATAACAATACAAACATCCATGTGGGATCTCACTGCATATGCAAATGCTAGCAAAACTACCTGCAAGGCTTTGCCTCCTAGAAAGTCCTTTCCTAAGGCGATCCTTGGATGGACGTGCCTTTGATTTGTCGTGGGCATTTAATGAAATCTTGGGAGCACCAGCAATGTCAATTAAAAGCTAGTATTTGCCCAAACAAATAATTAAAAGTTAGTCAAGACAATGGGCTAGAGAAAGGTAGCACCTTACAGTACCTAAAGAGAAACAAAGCGAGGTGGAGGGAGCACAGATCAAATCGTAACAACAAAATCATATTTCTGACACAAGATATCAGACATAACAGACAAAAACTGTAGTGTCTCCTTTCCAAGTAACCAGAAGTATTCACTGCCGGCCTTCAATAAATAGGACCAGCCCCAAGTTTAACAACTAACGCTATGTCTTGTATTATCTTTTAACGATTATATCTCTAATATAGCATGCTTCCTTTCAAACACAGTTCAGATACCATCACAAGCAAGATCCAAAAACAGATTCACAATAGCATTCCATGCTGTCAAATACCACAGGCTTCATATTATTTATTTATCGTTAAATTCATAGAGCTGACATCTTGAATAAAAAAGGACCAGCTAGTACGTTAGCACTTAGCAATTAAGGTTGTTTGAGCATTTCTATCAATCATAGGTCTCGCATAGAAGCATAAATGTTGCTCCAGCACACCGGCTATATTTCATGGCAAGAACTCCTAATCTGTCATGGAATACACAGACAGAAAAGAAGTAAAAACTGAGAATTAATTTTCAGGACCCATTACTAAGATCAGTTCAATATATAAATGAAACTACGAATAATTTAAGCAAAATGGAGCCATTCTTCCACTCGATAATTCACAAATTCATCTCAATGAAATTTACTGGGTTTCTTCTTTTCTTAATTGATTAAAGATGCCATTTAGTCATTTCGTGAGCATAGATTTACAAACTCTAGCATTATAACATAGCAAGACATTGTCAATATACCCAGAACTGCTCCATGCAAAACCACGTTCTGCCCCGCAGACATACATTGTTGTCTCAGTAACAACACATGCTGCATTGCACATAAGATGCACATAACAAACGCATAGACTTAAGAGAGCATTGGACAATAACAAACGATCATTTCCAGAGTATAAATTTTAGATTTATCCCATAAACACCATTCTGTACTTGTTTTTAGATGCTCAAAAGAATCATAGAAGCAAACGGATTACCTCAGTTTGCTTTTCAGGAGCTCTGTCAGTACTTACAAAGGTTCCACCTGTTCCATCATCTTTCAATGCGGAATGGTCTGAGGGATCTGTTGGCAGAAGATATCTCATAGTAAGTGAAAATTCTAGATCAAAACTGATGTACTTGTGTAATTGCGTGAAGTGTACTTTTTCAAAACTGCAAACTGCACTTTAGTTTACTTTGAGGAATATGAAAATCAGTCTGCTGAAAGTCTCCATTGACTACAGTTACCAGGCGAGAGTTTCAAGTTTTACGTAGAAGCAGAAAGCTGGAAACATACCCACTTGATCATGTTCATTGTGATTCACTTCTCCAATGGTTGAGTTCTGCATGTCCACATCAAAGTGGGGAGATGTGACTGCTACCTGCAGCAAATTATCATGCGTTAATTATCCCAAATGACCAAATTAGAGCAATCACGAATTGAGAACAAACAAAAGAGGACGGTTCACCTTCTCCGTTTGACTATCTGTATCGGCAGAAACATCTGGTAAGTCCTCTTCCAATGTCACGAAATCCAAATTAAAGCTTTCACCGTTATCATTGGAACTGTACTGGGACCGACCTGTATGTGAAAGATTAGAATAGTATCCAGTATTGTGTTTAAATTGACGCACACTATCTACTATACCGGCATCTTCTTCAACCATTGGTGACTTGGACTTTCGAGAAGTACTAGGGTCTTTCCTCATGTCAGCATTGTCAGAGTATATTTCCAAGCACCTAGAGAGGGGAGAATTCTTCGTGGCTGCTGTATCAATATTAGCAGCAGAATATGGGTCAATGGAGTTAACCTTAAACATACGTCTCTTCAACAACATCAATGGGGCAAGAGGACTCTTTGTTGGGGGTGAAGGGACGTTTTTTCTAGAAACATCCCCACTTTTTGAAGGTGATTTACTGTAAATCCTCCTCAAAATGTTCTGTATATCAGAAAGTGCCTGTCTACCCTGTGATGTCTCTCTCTGTGAATTATTCAAGTCATTCCCCCTAATATCTTGCATGTCAGGGAAGCTCAAGTTCTCGATGTTAACAGGTTTAATCTGCAAGCGCTCTTGTAAAAGATTGACCGCACCATCTCCATCCAAATCTTCACAGTTTCTGGATAATAAATCATCCAAAAGTTCATTGACCTTGTTTTGTGCCATCTCGGAACCTGTCACGGCAGACACTATCAGATCAGGTACTGAGAAAGTGGAACTGAGAAGAAATAAAAATGTGCACCTTGAGATTTAACACTTAAAACCCCAAGTTGACAACAACCTCTACTTACCAGCTAATTCAGTTTCATCAGTCAACTCAACTGCTTCGGGTTGTGTCGTATAAACTGGTCCAGGGACAATGTCGTTTTGAGATGTCGCTTGTGAAGATATGATAGACTGATCAAAAAGATTTTTGAAGGACTTCCTGGATATATATTATACTCTCAAGTCAGAACAGCAATTTGGCTAATCAGATGTTACAAAAAGAAACAAAAAAACATCCTCTCTATCTTGCTGCTCAACCAAATAAAAAGAGGAGAAAAAAAGCAAAGACCATACCTCAAGGTTCCTGGTCGGCGGGGACGTGCGTTTCTCACAGTATCGTACTGATTTTGATCCATTGAAACTCCAGTCTGTCTGAGTATTTCCCTCTTGGCATCTTATAACCAATACCAAGATAAGAGTTAATCCACATAATTCACGAAATACAGGAAGATTTTATGAAATGCAGGAGACAAAACATACTCTCAAACATCTCGTAAGCCACAAAAAATTCCTCTGGATCGTCATATCTATCAATATCAAATGTTGGCTCCAACGTCACCATGGGCTGGCTGTGAAATGAAGATTTACACGACTTAACAGAAGCTGACGGACAAAAGCTATAGTTGAAACTCTTTGAGACAGCTGATTCTCAACAAGTTTTACCTAGAATCAGGCTTCAGAGAAAACCGAGGTCGCTTGAGGCCCAAACCAGGCCTTCTTTTTCTAGTAACTTCATTTGCCATCACCGCATTTACTCCGTTCTTGTCTTCTGATGCTGCCTTGCTTGGGATACTAGTGTTTAGGAGTTCTGAACTATTGCTGATAATAGCCTTGGCTTGATCTAGAAGTCTTTTGGGACTTCGCAAAGCCTGTAATGGTGCAATAAAAAAAAAATTAACATTTTCCATAAAGCCCACATAAGGACTGAAAAGAAAGGCAATGAGTGAAGGCTTCACAGCATGTACTAGAATGGGATAAAACTTATCAAGCGGACCAAGAATTTAATTCTTCATACTCGAATGTTGGAGTCAACATAGGACACAAATGGGTACACCAGAAGCAAAAATGCCTAAGATTTCATGGATAAACACTCCCAATAAAGAAGAAACAGAACAATAATGAAGAACCCTACCAAAAAAAACAAAGATCAATAATCAAGAACAGTCACTAGAAAACAAAAAGGGCTCCAATAAGCTTTTTTTAGCACTTAAATTGCGCTTGCACTTCCACACCCACCAAACAGGGAATCCCAAAATTACTTCACCCCCCAACATGATAGAACAAAGATGTTAAAATAAAATATAAAACAAAGATAGGATAACTCGTTTGTTGGTGGCAAAAACTACTGATTCGATTAACTTCCTCCTGCAATAAGCGTAAGGCACGCAATTCGCGTCGACCGCGCGCGATACTCAGGAACTCGTGCCACTATATCTTGTAAATCAACCTGTAGATCGATTTGTGCTCACACTGTCCGCCTTCGCTCCGCACCTCGCGCAGCGTCCGCGGAAAACGGCCTGTTCTCAAAGACTACCGAGCTACGAGGAACGGGGGAAAAGACAAGGTAACCTAAGGAAATGACGAAAGAAAAAAATACGCACGAACGAACGACGGGCAGAGATCAAACAAAACAGCACAGGAGTTCTCAATTGAACGCGGATAGAGGGCAGAGCAGGCGGAGAGAGGAGGCGGTACGACGGATTTGAGGTGGTCGTGGAGGGAGTCGAGGTCGCGCTCCAGATCGTAGGGCTTCGGGGCTCGCTTGAGGACGCCGAGCGTCCGAGGGAAGAGCGAGAGCACGGAGTACTCCGCCAGCGGATCCGCGGCGTCCGAGCACCCACCTTCGCCCGCCATCTGGGGCGGCGGCGATCGTTCGGAACTGCGGACGGTGAAGAGGGAAGCAGATGGAAGTTCTTTGAGAGATGATGATGATGATGAAGAAGAGAGAGAAAGAGAGAGAGAGAGAGAGAGCGGCTCTCTGATTTCGAAAGGAAGGGGAGAGAGCGGGAGCGAAGCCCGAGGGGTATTATTTGAGAAATTTTTTAAATAGGAGCATGAAATGCGTTTACTTTATCGAAAAATACTTAAAGCAGAATGCCCATGTCAGTTTCAAATAATACCTTACCGGCATCTTTTGGCTTTGAATTTTTTTTTTGTCGAAAAACCTTTTTTTTTTAATTTTCCTTTCTTTTCTTCTTCCGGCAAGATTAAAAATTTATTGGTAAAAAAGATTATGTCGTTGGTTGATATTGTGGTTCAATTCTTATCGTTTATAAGAATTTTTTGTTAAATTTAGGCTTTATTTATTTCACGAAGAATATTTTTCTCATTTTGAAGCATTTGGATTACTTAAGAAAATAAGTCAACGGAAAACTTATACTTAAATTTAGGAAAATAATTTTTTTTTAAAAAAATCGAAAATCATCTCTTGACTCAAAACTTTACGCTTGAGCGTGAAAACCTCAAAGCTAGTTCCTCGATTCCCCGACATCGAGGACCAGGTCTCTGGACCTCCATTAAGGCTGCGCCCATGACCTCGGTTTCGATGCCCCAGATCCTCAATGCTTATGCTAGGGTCTATCGAGGCCGAGCCCATAACCTTGGTGCCTGTACATCGACCTTCGGTGCCTGCGCTTGGATGCATCGAGGCTGAGACCAAAGCCCCGGTGCTTGTGCTTGATGCCTCGGCACTTAGGCTCGGGTCCACAAAGGCCGAGCGCGGGATCCTAGTACCCAAGCTCAGATCCCTAACACTTGGGCGTGAGTCCACAAATGCCGTGCTTGGGTCCATCAAGGTCTAGTGTTCATAAAGGTCGCGCTCGAATCCATTGAGGTTGGGCTCAGGACAATAGTACCCTAGCTTAGGTCCATCGAGGCCGAGCTCGGGACCTAAGTTCCCATGTCCCGACCCCAATGCCTAGTGTATTTGATTCCCGAATAATGTTTGCTTATTTAGGAAAATCAAATCATATTTTCTATACCAAACGATAAAAAATATTTTCTAGTTCATTTTCATGTTTTAGCTAAATATAGAAAAATATTATAATTTTCCTAAAAAATGACTTATTAAAAAATATTTTCAGAAGATGTCACATTTCCATAAAACAAACCCACCCTTGATTTGAAAAAAAGAAAAAAAAACCAACCCTTGCTTAAAATAAAAAAGAAAAGCAAAACCAAGGAACATGCAGAAGGAAGTGGCAGGAGGACATTGCTTCACATCACAAAAATAGAGGATTCGAATGGAACCGCTCCTACTGTTTCTTCGCCCTCCACGCTAAAGGCTTTGCTCGAGTACCCCACACCATCTTGCTTGCTGCTCCTGCTCTTGAAGAGGGGGAGAAATTTCAGCGCCTGTTCCCAGGCGAAGCGAAGAGGTGCTCACTGCTTTGATCCTTTCCTCCCCTTTACTTGCTGAATCCATTGCAGTTTTCCTCGTTTCGTTCTGCTGAGAATTTGGCTTCCCACTGATTCGAATTGTTCATGGAGTTGATGGTGTGAGCTCGGAGCTCACGCGTGAAAATCGCAAAACCCGGTCGTGGTGATTGCACAGCCTCGGCATTTTCTTGTTGAATAATTTTACTAGCGCCTTTTCGTTGCGATGATCGCATCGACTCGGTCGTTGCCTTGATTTAGCACCGTTAGTTTTTTATTGGCTCGATTTCGTCGAGAGGTTCGGCGGTTGCGTTGTCTGTGGTATGCCCGATTTCGCGGTATCAGAAGCGGGCGGTCCTCTATTTGATTCTTGATAAGCTGTTCTTTGATATCGGGTGTGCTGCGATTTTCGCTATCGCCAGCTAAATGTAAAAGAGTTGCGGTCGCGAGTGGGATCTGTGTGTGTTTTTTCTGGTTTCACTTGATAGAGCTGCTGAGTGAGAGCTGGGGCTGGGTTAATTCTTGTTCTAGCCCGTCAAAGTTGTCGCGTTTCATCGTCGCTGATATCGGCGACTCTTGCCGTATATTTAAATTTCGATAATGTAGCTTCCCATGTGCTGCACGTTATGGTTGTTGCCTGCCCATGTCAATACTTTGTGCAGCCTGTGATTGAAAGAATCCTGCTAATTGCAGGTTTATCTAGACATGCCCAATTCAAAATCGAGTCCGAGTGATGGGGGCAACAAGACTGCAAAACGAAGTCTTCCTTCCTGGATAACTTCCAAACACAAAGGGAGTTCCCAGAATGGCAAGAATGCAGCTGGTTCAGGTGAAGATGAAGACACTGGAGAAAATGGGAGGCCTGAACAAGCCAAAGGGCTTGATGGAGAACACGCGAGCAGCACACTGGCCAAGAAATCTGAGAGCAGCGGGAAGCCTTCTTCATCGAGCTTGGATACCTTGCAACTTTCCGAACTTCTGGTACTAATTTTTTCTACAATTAAATGTACCCTTTGCAAGGTCTTTCCTGACTTGCACTTCAAGTGGGCTCAGGTTGCAAATTATTCATACAGGAGGGCGTGGTTTTTGTCTTATCGGGTTTCGTCAACCCAGAGCGCAGTACGTTGCGATCCCAGGCCCTTGAAATGGGAGCAGAATATCAGCCTGACTGGAACTCTGATTGCACACTACTAATTTGTGCTTTTCAAAACACTCCAAAGTTTCGACAAGTCGAGGCAAACAATGGAACAATTGTTGCAAAGGTGCCGACGTCACTACCTGATGCAGTTTATCAGTTGTTTAACATGACCTTGTAGTAAGCCGGTATTTTGAATGGGAAGTATCTTCTTTTACATGAATTGGTCTCGTAAACCACCTGCTTTGGTCTAGACTTCTCATTACTCTGAATAGCTGCAGTGAGATTATCAAAATAATCAACATGTCTTCTAGGCTATTCACTTTTATCTTGATGTTGATGCTTTCTCCTGATTTCATGGTAGGATTATTGTTTGATATACCAGTAGGCCATTATAAGAATGTCTTAGTTATGGGCAATTGCATCACTAATTAGAAGAGAGACATTTTTAGGAGTTTTTAATATCGTGCATTGATAAATGCTCATTTCTTGCATTCAAGTCAAGTTATTCCATGAAGTATTTGATTTCATTTTCTGATGACCAGCTTGACTTGGTCGCCTGTTTAACATCCCTTGTTGCTACTTTCGTAAGCGAGCTTCCTCCGGCTGTCCGGCCCCTGGATAGCTGTCGCTTAGTGAGGATGCTGGGCAAATATGTACAAGCTGAGAGAGCTGCTTGATTGGTTGATGAACAATCAAAACGGACCTAACTATTTGTGTACTTTAGGGCTTTTCCCTTACTAGTCGTGGACTCAATGAGCAAATAGACTTTAGGAAAGTGGTTTAGGTAGCTCGGATAGCAAAGGAATGAAAATCCCTGCGTCAGTGGTTTGTATGCAAATAGTAAAATATTAACTTCCTTTTCTCCTTCAAAGCAAAAGAAAGACTTGCTTCAACTCAAGAAGGAATGTCCCGTGATTCTGGTAATCTCTTGCAGCAGATTCGATGATAAGAAAGTATTGGTGGACTCATTTGTGAAGTGCTAATTAATGGCTTGTCCTTTCAATCTGTTAATAGTTTGTCCATGCTGATCCTGGCTAGACTGGCTTGTCGAGGCAGGTGAATCTGGAGGATTAGCAGTACAGGGAGATCATGATTCCATATATATATTTGTGTCTTGCTCCATGGGCTGGATAGACTGACTGGGTGGGCAACATGATTGTCTTACTTGTGAGTGGTGTATATGTGGACACCATCTTTCTCTCCCTTCTTACTATCAGTTGTTGAGAAGGTTCTGGATACTCTATTTTTCTAAGATAGTGGTAAAACTAATAATTTGTTATAGCAAGAGACTGCATTTTGCTCAAGCACGTCATACTAGGCTCTCCTTGATTTGATATACTTTTATCACTTGCTTCATCTGTATAGTAAGTATGAGTGTTATCAATTTAAAACAGCGATGGTTTGATCATTTGCTTGTGTACATTAGGAGTGGATAACAGAGTGCTACACCCAGAGAAAACTAGTTGACATCGAAAGTTATCTAATGCATGCTGGAAAACCATGGAGAAGGAGGAGTATTTCAGATAAATCAGGCAGAGGTAGTCTAACTTAGTAAATGCTCCTTTTGGGATTGAGTGGATTTATATGTGATGCCCATGTATCTATTCCTCTCTGGATGCTGATAGTAAAACCCTATATTTTTTAATTTTAAATTATGTCATGAGAAGGATCGAGCACCATCATCTGATGCTGCAATTTGTGGGAAAACTCAGTCTCGGTAACTCTTTGCAAGTTTCATGGCATGACTGGAAAATGTGACGTGCATCAAGTAACTGGGAGCACAATAGATGATTGCAACATGTTTTGATGGACTTTATGTTGGAATGGCATGACAACTAAATTAAATACGATTTGGTAGCTTAAACTTGTGATGACCTCTGTAAATTTAATGCTCCAAAAACCTTCTTTCAGATTCAGAGGTTTCACCAAGTAGAGGTTATCCTAAGCATGCTGAGAAAAGATCACAGTCGAGACAGTCAACTGCTGCATCCTCCAAGGTTTATCTAATGCTTATTATTTGAAGATTTTAAAATTTCAATTATTTGTCTGCATGGATTGGACCTTTTATTTGCTGATATCTCTATGGATGCGTGCTTCCTTAATCATAAGAAAATGCTGGACGTTCCTGCAGTTATCTTAAATCAACCTGTTTATGGTACTTTTGTTCTGTTGTTCTCTCCAGAAGAAGGCAAATTCTAATGTTGCTGAGGACTTATTTAATCTTTCAAAAGTGAAGAGCTGGGCTATTATTGATCTGAATAGAACGACTACATGGCTGGAAAGTCAAGAAGAAAAGGTTGGTGGCCTTAAGTTCAGTGGATAGTCATGCTTGTAAGTACATTGTGAAATTTTGCTCTGGCCAGAAAGAAACGGAAAAAAATCTAGGTTTGCTGCTTGATCCTCAGTATACGCTTTTGAAGAGTAAATTCTATCTATCTATTCTTCTTGAGGGACAGCGTGTGGCCTCTCTCTCTCTCTCTCAACCGTGGATTATTGTCGTCTTTGATTGCTTTAGCTTCTCCTATTCCGTGTTCTTTGTTTTGCCACTCATTTTTTATCATTAGAATTAAAATTTGTGATCATTAGATCACAATATTCTTCATAAATATCTGCTTTTGGCAAGGTTTCCATTAAGAATCCACGAATGTACCACGAAAGTATTGAGAAGGAGGAGAAAAAAAAAAGTAGCAGAGTCGGCAGTTCCTTTATCTCATAATTTTTGTATCTTTCATTGCCGATATTACTTAAACTATGAGCTCAAATCCGCATATCTTGATGCCTGTTGTTTCATTTTGACAAAGTTTTACTTTTCACCTAATGGTTATTATTGTGTCCTGCAGTTTTATCCTAAATTTAGTGCTGGCATTTAGCATCTGCTTTGACTTTGCAGCCTCCAGCAGATGAGATAAAGAAAATAGCGGCCGAAGGGATATTAACTTGCTTGCAAGATGCAATTGATGCCCTTGAGCAAAATCAGGTGTTGTATCCTCACATAAACTGGCGTGTTTTCAAATTGTATTTTATATCTCAGGTAAACTGGTTTATAAATACAAGCAAACTGTGTGAAATTTGAACACAAACTTGCATCCTAAATATGTTTTAGTAGGCGTATCGCTGTTCGTTTTAATGAAGAGGAAAAACAATGATTTTCATACTGAAGTGAGTGAACCAGCTTGAACTTCTCAGTTGTTCGTTGTTAGTTGTGTTTGGCATGAGCCTGATATATGAAGTACATATGTGCCTGTGATATTCGAGCTTTCACTTTTTGACGATGCATACGTTACTCGATGCAGGATGTCCAAAGAATTAGTGAACAGTGGAACATCGTACCTCGTGTAATGGAGGAGCTAATTAAGCTCGAGGGGTCTGGAAATACTGCTACTACGATCTCACATGCAGATCTCCACAGAAAGGCCGTGGATTGTAAACAAATTTATGAAGCAGAATACAGTCTTTTGGAATCTGATGCTTCGATGAAGCAAAAGAAGCCTAGAACTGATGATAGGAAAATTAAAGGGAAAAAGGAAGCTGTCTCTGCTGATGCAGCGGCTGGATACGACAGCGACGAGACCATGGAAATGACCGAAGAGGAAATAGAACTCGCATACAACACCGTGGCTGCTAAAGTTCCAGAATTTTGAGTATTAACTGGATCTGGTCTGTTTTAATGGAGTGTAGATTTTGGGACGAGTAGCTAGCTACATCAGTACTTTGCGGCAAGTTTCACCTTATTCTCGGTTTACTAGCATCTGTCTGCTTCCTACCCGAATGGTAAATTTCTGTTGAAGGTGTTCGCAGTTTCGACAAGTGAAGTGTCGTAGAGCATAGGGACCTTAAGAAGCCTCTTTGCATGCTGAACTGGCATGATGCAACATAAGTGAATTGATATTAGGATTCAATCGGAATAATTGCCGATTCGAACTCTATTGTTAGCTTCAACCTTATTGAAGATGGCCTATAGATCGGAGCGACGTACGTATGAACCACGCCTCGGGTTGACATGTTTGGCGACTTGCCTCGTAGAAAAATCCCATGAAGATGTCTCGGGAATTCGCCCGGTGGCACCGGCACAGGCACGGGCACAGCGGGGGTTGGATGGCATAGAGCCATAGACATACGTATCTTTCCTTAGTTTGAAACAAACATTATCATTCGACCATTCGTGGGTTACACTACTCCTTTACTGGAACTTAAACTATGAAGTGCAGCTCATGTTAAAAAGAGTGATGGTGTTACATTCTGTCTATGGAAGGAAATGATGGGGCGAAATATGATGCAAGTTTATATCATTTATTTGAGTTTTTATTTTTGGCAATTCTTTATTTATTTATTTATTATTTTCTGAGGAATCCCATTATCTAGTATTGCCTAAAGTCGTGTGTAGCATAACGTGCAATTAAATTTGGATTTTAATTTCACGGCTCGAAGCCTTTTTGGTGCAAATATGTGGTTAAAGTCTATTTTTCATCGCATATCAAGGAAACTTCTTACTCCACGGTAAAAAAATATGAAAAAAAACACTTACGATCAACCATCCAATTATGTGCAATCCCAGCATCAAATAGGTGAATTTATAGTTAGATTGTTGTCCAATATTTGTGCAGAAACCTCCGATGGAGAAAACATTCGGTGATAGCAAAGCGCCATGACATTCGCGCATATTTGCCTAATCGGATTCGTTCACGGTTTCACACGCGGTTGATTTACACCCTAAAGATTTGACCATCTGCAAACTAGAAATGCACCTCAACTTTTGGACCAAAAATTGAAAATGTTTGCCCTTCCAATTTCTCTCTTCAACCCATCTTTTACTTTTCTTTTTAGGGAGACGGTTTTATCCTTGCCCCTCGACCGTGGGTTTCTGCTTTATTTGACGCGGCTTTTTGATACCGCCCAATATTTGCTCATTTATTGAATGACGTGATTTGAAGCAACTCGCTTAATATGTCAAATGAAACTCTCTCGACAGCATATTTTATCGAGCAAGTAAAACACTAACCAAACACATCTGCCGACAGAGCATCATTATTAAAAAAAAATCGGTGTAATATATATAAAATGAAAATATGCTAATCATCACAAGGGAGAGATTATGTTTCGCATCAAATGATATACATTATAATTGTGAAATATAAAGAAAGTGGGAAAAAAAAGAAGGGGCTAATATCCCGAAAAATTCAAGTAAAAAATTTATCAAAAACTAATTTTTTGATTATAAAAAATCCTAAACTAGTTCACTTGTAATAAATTTATCAAATTAAATTTTTCACCACCAAAAACCTTAAACCGATACACTCGTGATAAATTTACCTTATGTTATTTTTCGTTAAATTGGATTAATACCATGAAAAATCACAAGCTGGTACACCTGTGACAAACGGAGGGTAAAACCTTAAATTGACATACCCGTCAACTGCCACGTGTCATCCAATTCAACAATTTGACGGTAAAATTTAATGGAAACTAACGGAGGGTAAATTCGTCACATATGTATCAGTTTTGTGTTTTTCGCGGTATAAACCCAAAAAAGAAAGAAAGAAGGAGTAAATCTCGACCGTCGATAATAATTTTGGTGTTTACTTGCTGAAAAAAACGGAAAACTATTTTTAATCGGGATTTATGTAAAAACCGGGTTAAATTAATTCGCTCCCCCGCACGCGCGCACGCGTGAAGAGAGAACTCCGAAAACCCTCCCCCCCCCCCCACGGATTCAATCCCCCAAGCTCGCTCGCTCGCTCGCTCGCTCTTTCGTTGTCGCTGCACTCCACGCACAAAAACTTCGCTTCTTCTTCCGCAATAGGGTTGCAGCAGATAGACGCCACCACTCTCTCTCTCTCTTCTCTCTCCTTTCTCTGCTTCTCTCTCTTCCGCTTCTTCATCTCTCGCTCTTCTCCTTCTTCTCTCTCTCTCGTCTCCGTCTGTGCTACTCTCTCGCTCTGTGACCAACAATGGGCGCGTCGCTGCCTCAGAAGGAGGCCAACCTCTTCAAGCTCATCGTCGTAAGCACCTTCGATTCTCTCTCTCTCTCTCTCTCGCTCCTCGATTTCGCTTTTGCATCGGGGGGGATGAATCACACCTGTTCGGCGCGCGACGATTGAAGTGCAGTGAATCGGGCGTCTCTCTCTGTGCGCTTGGCTCTCGCCTAGTTCCTTAAACCCTAGGTTCGCTTAGCTAGCTGGTCGCGCTTTCCCCTCGGCGCTCCCGAGTAGGGGACCGGACGGACGGACGGACGGACGGACGCACGGACTGGCTGAGCTTGTTCGTCGGCCAATCGGGATTGTTTTGCGCGATTGGTCGAAAGCGAGTCGTTGCAGGACTTTGTGTATTAGTATCTCCTCTGATTTGCTGTTGAATAATGGGAATGGTGTGTTAAGGCCACGAGTTGCCGTCGTCGGTTGCGCGAGGATTTTGGATGCGGGCAGGGGCAGTGGTGTGATGAGCCAGGATCCTTTAGTAGTCATCCATTTCGTCTTTTGGATGTTTTTGACTCGATTGGGAGATCGTCAGCTGTCGGGTTTTCTTCTTGTAAACGTAGTCTGCTGCTGTTTATTCTATGCATTTGGAGGGTTGGTAATTTTGCAAGACGAGTTCGTCGCTGGAAATTGAATTTCGACGGACGAGATTCGCAATGCTGCCGAGTGGGAGTATTCGGTGCTTTGCTTTTCGTGCTCGAAGCATTGATCTAGTATCGTCTCTCTACAGTTGCATAACTTAGAAGGCCGTATTGTAGTTTCTTATTGGGTTAAACAATCCGCCACTTCCGAGTTTTCTGAAGTGCTCATTGCATCCAGCTAGTTTACGATCGGTTAAACTAGTGATGGGTTTGTAGTGATGTCAAGTCCGTTATCTGGGCGATCTATTGTTTATTGCAGATGCATCTTGCCTGCACTATGATGTTGGCTCCATTCCTGATGGTGCCATTTTACTTGTGTCATCATATAGACCCTAGAGGGGAGCAAATTTCTCATTGTACAACCGCATTCCTTCTTCTCTTTTAAATAGATGTGACTATTCAAAATGTTTTGTGTGTTGCAGAAATCATATGAAACTAAACAGTATAAGAAGGGATTGAAGGCAGCAGATTCCATTTTGAAGAAGTTTCCAGAACATGGAGGTAAATTTACACAATACGGTGTTTGGATATGCAATACTCTCTGTCTTGCTGTCATATAAGAATCTTGCAAATGGAGCAGAGACATTGCTTTTTGCATATTGAGATGGTTCTGTTTGTGTAATTTAGGAAGCTCTTGGTTTATGTTTGGTAAACACTTACGAATTGTGTATTTATTTTTACACTGAATTGGGGCAGAATGCTAGTGATTAGGCTAAAAGTTGGCAAAGCGGACTTTTGTTCTATTGATAGCTTGATAAGTTTAATGAATTTTGTAGTACTGATTATGTAAGTTCTATAGGCTGTTTGATTAAATACTTGAGGAGTCTTCATGGTAAAATCTCATTAAAATCTGGTCATGAACCTGCCTAACGTGAAAATGAGCGGAAACTAATCGGAGGTAGCGAAATTGAGGGAGCTGCTGATATCTATTTTATTGCTTTTGAAATTGTGATTAAAGTCATAAGTGTTTGAGTTTAGTGGATCATCCTGGTAATGCCAACTGATTGAAGAGATGGTCAATATGCCTTCGTTCTCCTTAACCTGCAGGTTGTTTTTCTTTTCAACTTGGGTAGTTTAACTTGATGAAACTTGGAAGTTTCATTTGTACATTGCATTATATCAAAGCCATATGGTCTGTTAAGTTTACTTTTAAAGACTGAAAGGCAACTCTTTGAGCGGAAGATGAGGGAAGGGAGGAATGGAAAGAAAAAGTCATGGTTCATAATTGAAAAGCGACGCATCAATCACCATAAATGTTCTAATTCTTCCTGTTGTGATTTTGTGCACACTCTGTTTTAGTACTTCTAGGAATTCAGTCGGAATGTTCTATCTTGACCTTAATTTGAGTTGCTATCTTCCTTGATGATTTGAGTACTTGTCCTTGTCAACAGAAACCTTATCAATGAAGGGCTTAACCTTAAACTGCATGGATCGTAAAAGCGAAGCATATGAACTTGTACGACAAGGTCTAAAGGTTCGGATTTTTTCCTCAAACTAGTGTGTTGTGCTGATTTTTTGGAGGGTGATGATTTTTATTACGAAGTCTCCTGTTGATGCAGAATGACCTGAAAAGCCATGTCTGTTGGCATGTGTATGGTCTCCTATACCGTTCAGACAGAGAATACAGGGAAGCAATTAAATGCTATCGAAATGCATTGAGAATAGATCCAGACAATATTGAAATATTGCGTGACCTCTCACTCTTACAGGTATGTTTATGTGTTGATACTATATGGAACGGACTGTAAGTGAAGTCTTTGGCTCGGTACTTCCGACACTGCACTAGCATTTCTTGTTAAAACTTGAGGCCATTGCTTGAGACTTCAAATCTCCTTTGACAGAATTTGACTTACAGAGTTATAGGGCTCATGGTGTTCTGCTTCAATGCCTGCCATCTGAGTGCACTTCATTTTTTTGCAACTAATTGGTTTTTGATTGATCCATATAGATGCTTTAATTTCAGTGTACCTGATTATTCTATCCACTTGAGATCTATATCTAAACGTTCTAATTCTGTCTTTAGATGATTTAAACCTCACTTAGACACAATTCACGCTGTTTTGCTGGCAATTTTAGGAATTGCTGCCCCAAGCATATTTCAAATATGGACTAATACAATGATGATATCTTAGTTCTATAAGCACAGTGGACCTTGAAATTTCAGGGAGGATTTACTCTTGTCTAAATTTATCTTTAGAAGGCAGATGTATTTGGTTGTGAAATCTTCACGAGTGAATACTGTTGATGCATAAAGGACAGGCATTGTTATTGTAGCTGTTAGTGCTGCAGGTTTGTTGCTTTACTATGTTTTGATGTGATGTTGTGACTAAAATTGGTGTTTATCTTCAATCTATTGTGGTGATTAACGAG